ATCAATCATTTCTGAAAAGAAACCAAATATCACAACATGATTATAGCTTTGATCAATCATTTCTGTAAAGAATCCATATATCACAACATGATTATAGATTTGATCAATCATTTCTGAAAAGAAACCAAATATCACAACATGATTATAGCTTTGATCAATCATTTCTGAAAAGAAACCAAATATCACAACATGATTATAGCTTTGATCAATCATTTCTGTAAAGAAACCATATATCACAACATGATTATAGATTTGATCAATCATTTCTGAAAAGAAACCATATATCACAACATGATTATAGCTTTGATCAATCATTTCTGAAAAGAAACCATATGTTACGGGACTTTTATGATAAAATAAGGAAAATGAAATAAACAAAATACAATAAGCAAAAATGTTTTGAATATGAAAGATCAGCCGGTAGACAGGGATTTTATCCCTGGATTTCACTCTGTTATACTATCAGTCTATCTGGCTTTTAATCAAGTTAATGAAAGTGTCTGGGTCCAATTGTGCTACTTATTGAAGTTAAAGGGAGGTAATTGTATATAAGAAAAACTACAGTGCATTGGGACAGGGATCCTTAACCCTTTCACCCCTATTTAACTTAAGTAGACTCTACCATGCATTGATATGGAGGAGTTCATTATGGTCTACAGTGTTGAAAGGGTTAAAACACAGATTAAGTGTAGATGCTGTACATGTTTTGTTGATAATTAAATCACAGAATTAGTGGAGATGCTGTACATATTTTGTTGATAGCTAAATCACAGAATTAGTGTAGATGCTGTACATATTTTGTTGATAATTAAATCACAGATTTTGTGTAAAAGCTGTTTTGTTGATAACTAAATCATAGAATTGGTGTAGTTGTTTTCTATAATTAAATCACAGAATTGGTGTAGATGTTGTCTTTTATTTCATTTAACCACAGAATTTTGAAAACATTGTTTTATAAATTTATGTCACATGGTTTGAAGCGTAGATCAGAATAATATTGATCATGACAATAGGTTATAGAATTATGTCATAGAATTTGTATGCATTCCTTGGTGTTGGTTTTAATGACTACCAGTAGTAGTGGGTTTCAGGATGATGTTCAATGACATATTGGGAGTGCAAGCAGAAAAAAATACTTCTTGTGTAGTTTTCAATTATTTTAGACTTAAAATGTGTTTTGTATTAGAAACAGGTTTTGCCAAATTCAGAGTGAAAATGTGTTTTGTATTAGAAACAGGTTTTGCCAAATTCAGAGTGAAAATGCTTGTGTTTGAAGCGTTCTATATGCGAGTACAGTACTGCTAGCTGACTACTGACACTACAGCTGCATGCTGATTAGGATCAATTCTATAGGGTGTTTTTACTAGTTGTGTAAGCTTTAGTTGAGACTACTAAACACTGGTAAGCTTCTTACCTACCAACATAAACATTTCTTGTAGTCATTCCACCAGTATATCTGTGTAATTGTCAGGAATCTGAATATCAGTCTATGTATAGAGGATCTGTCAGGAATTTCCCTGAATAATTGTGATCTGAAACAAATATTTTGCACTTGGCCGCCTCTGAAACAATGAAAATGGTGTCAGCTTTATCAATGATGTGACATTTCATTGATTGTTCCTATTTAATTGTGACGTCATTTCCGGAGTGATATTACACACATTACATAATTACATAAACATAATTTATTTGATGGCTTTATGACACTGCATAACACAGTATTCATATGATTAAAGTAAGTCTGGAGTAAATATTGAAGAGTACCGGTACCGGACCTGTAATATGCCAGACAGCGGTGTCGTCGTCAATCCGTCAATAATTTCTAAAACAACTAAACTGCTGATTGGAATTTTACCAAATTTAAGTGGAAGCATCCCTAGGTGTTGGTGATTCAAAATTGTATAAACAAATAGAGGGGCTGTGCGGCAGGGCCGAAAAGGGGAATTTTGTCATATTACTTTAAGTACTAACCTTTCTGAAACTAAGATAAGGATATCAACCATATTTTGTTGAAAGCTTTTCTAGGTGGAGTGGATATCAATGTTAACAAATGGAGGGGCTGATGGGCCAAAAAAAGGGTTAATTTAGCCGTATTGATTTAAGTGACTTCTTCTTTGGAACTAAGTAAAGAATATCAACCATATTTGGTTGGAAGCAAGCATCTCTAGGTGGTTTGGATTCAAAATTTTACAAATAAGGGGGCTGAGGGCGGCACAAAAACAGGATAGTTTGACCATATTGCTTTTGATTTAAGCAACTTCTTCTTTGGAAATAGAGAATTGCATCAACTATATTTGGATACAGTTGAGATAACCATATATACAATTGCTGTGCATAAAGAAACCTAACACAATCATGATACATTGTATTATAATTTTCCTAGGGGTCTAGCCACACCCCAAGAGACTTAGTCCCAGGTCATAACTTTAAGGTTGATGCAGTTCCCACCCCATAATAATGTACTAGTGATGGGCATAAAGGCATGAATACAATATTATATAAGAATTGACCCTGGGTCTCTGTCCACACCTCAAGCAACATACTTCCTGGGTAACATCTTGGAAACAGTTGAGATCCCCACCCAATAACCAAATGTATGATTGCTGGGCATACATAGACACGATCATGCTACCAGAGTCTGCCTTGGGGTCTGCTCCCGTTCAAAGGGACTAAGTCCCCAATTAAAAACATTTGAGATCTCCACCCAAAATAACAAAAATCATTATAGCTGAATGTGAAGATTTGGCCCTATCCCTGGGATGCAATTTGCCATAATAAATGAAAAGTACAATTGTATACTATCAGATTGTTATTAGATAAGGGCACCTGTGGTAGACTAATCTTTTTGAGATAAGGGTACCTGTTTTAGACTAATAGATTATTATGAGATAAGGGTACCTGTTATAGACTAATAGATTATTATGAGATAAGGGTACCTGTTATAGACTAATAGATTATTATGAGATATGAATACCTGTTTTAGACTAATAGATTATTATGAGATAAGGGTACCTGTTGTAGACTAATAGATTATTATGAGATAAGGGTACCTGTTGTAGAATAATAGATTATTATGAGATAAGGGTACCTGTTGTAGACTAATAGATTATTATGAGATATGGGTACCTGTTATAGACTAATAGATTGATATGAGATATGAGTACCTGTTATAGACTAATAGATTGATATGAGATATAGTTACCTGCTGTAGACTGATAGATTATTTGTTAGATAAGGGTACCTGTTGTAGACTAATAGATTGATATGTGATATAGGTACCTGCTGTAGACTGATAGATTATTTGTTAGATAAGGGTACCTAGAACATACTAATTGATTCAGGCAAATGATAACTCTCATTAATTGTGAATAGTGTAATACATGTAATAGTAACACAATGTATGTATATCATTGAGGACTTTATTTTGCCCTATGATGGAAGGTTTAATATAACATGTATATAACAGCCTTGATCAAAACTATTGCACACAGAAGTAAGTGAGTGACCCTGACCTTAGATGTTCCTATGGCCTGATGGATCTCTCTAAGGGAGGATGCGGTATACAGCCGTACTTACATGTACGGATCAATATTGGAGGATGATGAGCAGCAAGTCTGATAATAAGTTCCCTGGAGGAGCCATTGACTTGTCATATACTGCACAGTATCATGTCTTCTTCATATTCACCTCTTAGACAACTCCTTTTGTCTGGTGGCCATATGTGTCTGGATCCTTCAGCGGATCAGTAATAACTTGCTACAGATGATCTGATGGAATCGTATAATTCTAGACTATCCTCATATAACTGAATCATACATGTATGCACTGTACCAGAAAAAGAGAGGAGTTATATTATCTTTCACAAAACTATTGAAATAACCTAGAAACATTGTATGTCATCCTAGAATGGATACAAGTTGTGCTATCCTAATTACTACTATAAACATTTAGGTTGGATTTACCATACATTTTTCGTAGCTATAGATACCTAGCTTAGTTGTGAACTATATGGTAGAACGTAAATCGGATCAAACTCCTATTCCGTCTTTGCGTATTGCAGAGTTCTCTTCTCTTGTGAGCAGGTATTGATTGTTACGTCATTTGTTTGTGAGAGTAACGTCATCAATTTGACACAAACCAATGACGTAACAATCAATACCTACTCACAAGAAAAGATAACTCTGCAATACGCAAAGACGGAATAGATCTATGCAAAAGTAATATATATACAGTGTACAGGAGAAGAACTGTAGATACAACACTTAAACATTAAATGTACAGTATTTTAGATATTTTACTAGTACAAATTTAAAATGGTTAACAGTGCTAAAAGTTCTGTTTTCCCTGATTCCAGGACCGTATATCCGGTAGCACAACCATTGAAATATTTCTATGCTCTTTTTTAACTCTATCACACAAGTGACCAGTGAATTATAGCATTTAAAGTGAAACTTTGTTATACTGCCACCATGATAAAAGGTTTGGTGATAACTTGAGGGAAATGTTTTAAAAAAATCTTAAGTAAAGAAAAAAGAAGACCATTGAAATATGTTGGTGGTAAGTGAGTTGGCAAACGAGGGGCATTAATCAAGGTTTTACTTCATACACCTACATGTTAAAAATGGACAAGATGGCAATAACATCACAAAGATGATTTGACTAAGCTTTAAGTGCAGGTTCAGTTTGGTTGAAACAGTGTACAAGATAACAGTTAAACGTGTAAATCATTTTAGTTACACTTAGTTTAGAGTATTGCCATAGAATGATGTGTGCGAGTCTATGGTGCCTTTCATCTCGATCCACAACTGGCCCCTTGAAGGATATCCAAATGGTTCCCTTTGTCTGCTGCTCCAAAAGGTTCTTCTCTCAGGCTTCCTATTTTTTACTTCTATTTTTCATAATTAAATTCAGACATTGTTACTCTCATTTATATAAGTTTATTACAAGGAATGTATAGTGAGGGTAACTGTTATCAAAGTTATGAATTTGTGTATTTTCAGACAGAGGAAGATGGTACAGTGACTATTGTGGAAAGCAAGGAAGAATCTGCGGCTAAACTTAACAAACTAAAGCTAACTATTGCAGGTAATGACAAAGCTTATGTTGTGACACATTTATCACATTGATGAATTTTCATCAGGTGTAGTATGTAAAATTCAAGACTATTTTGATAGCTCACCACATGTACCTGTATAGGTATTAACCAAAAGAAATAAGTATAATGACAAAGAAAGTGAATGGAAAAGTAAAACATTCCCCACCGAGGGTCGAGACAGGAAATCTCAGCATTCAGGGTGACTTTATGATGTCCAGTCCTCAGCATAGCGTTGGGCTGGACACTCAAGAATATTAACAACTTTAAAATATGAGAATATTTCTACTAGGCAGTAATTTCTTCTATATATGGGGCAAGGAAGTAATTCAAACAAGACAGACAGTATGAAATATATCAAATGTTTGGAGCAAGGCGCTCCTTTATCGAGACACAGAAAAAACAGAGAACACTTAAAATTACATAAAAAACAAAAATAGGAAAATAATAAGATAAAAGTAATATTTGAAAACATTAAGTCTCTCGGCTCTGAAAATTTAACAACCTCATACTATATATATACAGTTGGAATTTCTTCCCTGCCCCATATACCAATCTGAAGTAATTTGTATCTGTTTGCAAGAATTCAGTGTTATTTGGGAAGTTACCGTTTATATTACTTCTTTGACCAATATTATGTATGATCTAGGTCTTCCTAGATTACCAGTCTGATAGGATATCTAGGACAGAGTGTCCACAATTACCAGTCTGATAGGATACCTAGGACAGAGTGTCCACCATTACCAGTCTGATAGGATACCTAGGACAGAGTGTCCACCATGACCAGGCTGATAGGATACCTAGGACAGAGTGTCCACAATTACCAGTCTGATAGGATACCTAGGACAGAGTGTCCACCATGACCAGGCTGATAGGATACCTAGGACAGAGTGTCCACAATTCCCAGTCTGATAGGATATCTAGGACAGAGTGTCCATGATTGCCAGTCTGATTGGATACCTAGGACAGAGTGTCCACGATTACCTTTCTGATAGGATATCTAGGAGCATGAAACCTGTAAGTCCTGATAAGATACCTAGAACAGAGTGTCCACGATTACCAGTCTGATAGGATATCTAGCACAGAGTGTCCACAATTACCAGTCTGATAGGATACCTAGGACAGAGTGTCCACGATGACCAGTCTGATAGGATATCTAGGACAGAGTGTCCATGATTACCAGTCTGATTGGATACCTAGGACAGAGTGTCCACGATTACCTTTCTGATAGGATATCTAGGAGTATGAAACCTGTAAGTCCTGATAAGATACCTAGAACAGAGTGTCCACGATTACCAGTCTGATAGGATATCTAGGACAGAGTGGCCACAATTACCAGTCTGATAGGATATCTAGGACAGAGTGGCCACAATTACCAGTCTGATAGGATATCTAGGACAGAGAGTCCACGATTACCAGTCTGATAGGATACCTAGGACAGAGTGTCCACAATTACCAGTCTGATAGGATACCTAGGCCAGAGTGTCCACGATTACCAGTCTGATAGGATATCTAGCACAGAGTGTCCACAATTACCAGTCTGATAGGATAACTAGGACAGAGTGTACACGATTACCAGTCTGATAGGATACCTAGGACAGAGAGTCCACGATTACCAGTCTGATAGGATACCTAGGACAGAGAGTCCACGATTACCAGTCTGATAGGATACCTAGGACAGAGTGTCCACGATGACCAGTCTGATAGGATATCTAGGACAGAGTGTCCTCAATTACCAGTCTGATAGGATATCTAGGACAGAGAGTCCACGATTACCAGTCTGATAGGATACCTAGGACAGAGTGTCCACGTTTACCAGACTGATAGGATATCCAAGATAGAGTGTCCACGATTACCTCTCTGATAGGATATCCAGGAGTATGAGACCTGTAAGTCCTGATAGGATATCTAGGACAGAGTATCCACGATTACCAGTCTGATAGGATATCTAGGAGTATGAGACCTGTAAGTCCTGATAGGATATCTAGGACAGAGTGTCCACGATTACCAGTCTGATAGGATACCTAGGACAGAGTGTCCACGTTTACCAGTCTGATAGGATATCCAAGATAGAGTGTCCACGATTACCTCTCTGATAGGATATCTAGGACAGAGTGTCCACGATTACCTCTCTGATAGGATATCCAGGACAGAGTGTCCACGATTAGTTCTCAGATAGGATATCTAGGACAGAGTGTCCACGATTACCAGTCTGATAGGATATCCAGGACAGAGTGTCCACGATTACCTCTCTAATCACCATTAAGCTTGGCTGCCTTCCATTACACAGTCTCCTTGACCACTCTGGTATAAAAAGGGGGTGTATTACATTATGATCAGTCAGATCATTTTTCTTCTCTCTATAACATTAAACATCTAATCAATAGTTTAATCTGGGTCAAGGTCACTCCATCTTCACTAGAGCTAGTGTATTAATTTCCAGGAAGTGATCCTAAATCTTTCTTTGATAAAACACATATCCCACTTCCGTGTTGAATTAAATAATGTATTGAACTTTGACTAGTAATTATATATACTGAACTTAACATAATGTTGAACTCATTTTACCCTGAAATTTCATAATGAACTGTTCCATCCTTTGAATTGGTAGAGTTCAAATGTATCTTCAGGGGTGAATGAGTTAATGTAAAACTGATACTGTGACATGTAGCTTTGTTTGCTGTCAGCACATATCTGTTTGGTCTTGTATTTTGGAATGAGACACATTATTGTAATCTGTAACAGTGACAGTCCCCAGATAGCCCAGGGAGATTCTCTCTAGTCCTCCTCAGGTGCTTGACAGTGCTGATATTGATTTTGTTGTTCTATAGTATAGTCACCTTCACGTGTGAAGCCCACATCTACAGAGCTAGATGTTATATAATTACTGCTGCTGATGTCATGATATGGGAATCAAGTGACATACATTTTCTGTCTTGTGTGATCAGCTGATCATGATGTTTCTTTACCGTATCTAACATTGTTTAGTGACATGGAAGCAACATTACCTAGTATATGCCTAAACACTAGAGATTTAACACTTAGAAGCAACATAAACATCTATATATGTAATGGATATACATAATGTACACTAGCTATTTTATAGAGAGTGTGGCTAAGCTATATATAGGGTATGTATGGCTGATCACTAGATTGATAGGGTACTGATAGACACTAGCTATTTTATAGAGTGTGTGGCTAAGCTATATATAGAGTATGTATGGCTGATCACTAAATTGATAGGGTACTGATATACACTAGCTATTTTATAGAGAGTGTGGCTAAGCTATACATAGGGTATGTATGGCTGATCACTAGATTTATAGGGTACTGATATACAATAGCTATTTTATAGAGAGTGTGGCTAAGCTATATATAGGGTATGTATGGCTAATCACTAGATTGATAGGGTACTGATATACACTAGCTATTTTATAGAGTGTGGCTAAGCTATATATAGGGTATGTATGGCTGATCACTAGATTTATAGGGTACTGATATGCACTGGCTATTTTATAGAGAGTGTGGCTAAGCTATATATAGGGTATGTATGGCTAATCATTAAATTTATAGGGTACTGATATACACTAGCTATTTTATAGAGAGTGTGGCTAAGCTATATATAGGGTATGTATGGCTAATCACTAGAATGATAGGGTACTGATACATATACACTAGAGACATGGAGTATGAGTATACAATAGCCGTAGATCTAGAGGTCATTGCTGTATACTACCTATAGGGTGTATGGGATACTTTTTGATTCTAGACATTTCTTGAGTGGTGAATTGGTTGAAATTAAAGCTTACATAGAATTTTGTAAGAAAACATTTTCTACACTTGCAATTTTTAACCATTTTCCAGTCAAAGAGCTATGAATATTTTGCCATGAAATATATATTTGCTGTTTTACTTGAAACATAACCATATTTTAATGGAGAAAATGTATTACCTATTGATTAAATCCAAGCTGATAGTTTGATTAATTGGCTGGAAGGCTTTACTTACAGTCACTTTCAACCCCTGTGATAGAGGTTACATTGAGGTACTGTATTTATAGATATAACCCCAAGCTTTTGCAATTTTCAGATGTGGAAGCAACAAATCTTAAAAAAGGAATGTTTTTTAACCCTGACCCCTACATCAAGATGACAATCCACCCGGGAAAGTTATGTCCGTCCACCTCCCACCATCATCACGAGTTACGGAGCAATATTTGTCCCAACACTACCAACCCTCACTGGCCCCACGCGGTAAGTGCCATGTGTCCTGATCAGGTGTTTGTGTATTGGGATGATTTTGACCCCATTTCGTATGTGAAACCCTCAAATTCTTTGTCAATAATGATAAAGTTTTCTGATCAATTTCAAAGATCACTTTTGAACCGCAAGTCTCTTTCTTTATATGAAAAGTTTACTTGAGGTATCCATGTATTTTGTCACCTCACATAATGGCTTGTATTTTCTCTATATCATGTGCACTGTTAACTTGTTTTTCTCCAGACTTTCGCATTGGAGTCCTATCCGACTGATATTATGGAGTTTGAAATCAAAGACAAATTTGCCAAAAGTCGTCCAACAATCAGTCGGTTCTTGGGCAGGGCATCACTGACTGTACAGAAAGTCATAGACAAATCTGGCAGGGGGTAAGTACCTGGTGAACAAGATAGGTGGAGCTAAAAGTGAGTATTGGGGGAAATTCACAGGTAGTTCTGTTAATGAATTTGTATGTGAGAAATTTTATTATACAGCTGGACAACCTGTTGTCTTAACATACTTACCAACACTCCCTATTTAGGAGGGAAACTCCTGATTTTGGACCCTCAAAGTTAATATTTCCAACCAATGAATTTGCTATAAAACTATTCCTTTATTATAAGATATTATTATTTCATCTGAAATAACAACTCAATATATGTCATTTTAAAGGTTTTGTTTTGTTTGTCTTGAGGGGTTTAAATATACAGACATTTTATTTGTGTTTTTAATATTGAGCACATGGAAATCTCCCTCATAGACGGTTGGCAAGTATATTGTCATCATTTCTGACAATATTGCGTTGACTCTCACCAGGTGTATTTATATGACATTGTTTGTGTATCTGTTTCAGTCCTACAGCCTTCTCCCTGGACCTGACAAAAAGAAATCCATCTGATAGTGTCAGTGGTATGTTAAAGTTTAGTGCTGGTATAGATAAGTGGAAGGAGGGAGACACGGCCAAACGCAAGACCGCTATACTGAAACGTAAGTTAATCTGAAAGTTCTCATAACTGTACCTACATGTAGTCCTGTAAAAACAGTACCTACATGTAGTCTTGTAAAAACTGTACCTACATGTAGTCATGTAAAACAGTACCTACATGTAGTCCTGTAAAAACTGTACCTACATGTAGTCCTGTAAAGACAGTACCTACATGTAGTCTTGTAAAAACAGTACCTACATGTAGTCTTGTAAAAACAGTACCTACATGTAGTCTTGTAAAAACAGTACCTACATGTAGTCTTGTAAAAACAGTACCTACATGTAGTCTTGTAAAAACAGTACCTACATGTAGTCTTGTAAAAACAGTACCTACATGTAGTCTTGTAAAAACAGTACCTACATGTAGTCTTGTAAAAACAGTACCTACATGTAGTCTTGTAAAAACAGTACCTACATGTAGTCTTGTAAAAACAGTACCTACATGTAGTCATGTAAAACAGTACCTACATGTAGTGTTGTAAAAACTGTACCTACATGTAATCCTGTAAAAACTGTACCTACATGTAGTCCTGTAAAAACAGTACCTACATGTAGTCCTGTAAAAACGGTTCCTACATGTAGTGTTGTAAAAACGGTACCTACATGTAGTGTTGTAAAAACGGTACCTACATGTAGTCCTGTCAAAACTGTACCCACATGTAGTCCTGTAAAAAGAGAACCTACATATAGTCCTGTAAAAACGTTTCCTACAAGTAGTGTTGTAAAAACGGGACCTACATGTAGTCCTGTAAAAACTGTACCTACATGTAGTCCTGTAAAAAGAGTACCTACATGTAGTCCTGTAAAAACGGTACCTACATGTAGTGTTGTAAAAACGGTACCTACATGTAGTCCTGTAAAAACGGTACCTACATGTAGTCCTGTCAAAACTGTACCTACATGTAGTCCTGTAAAAACTGTACCTACATGTAGTGTTGTAAAAACTGTACCTACATGTAGTCCTGTAAAAACTGTACCTACATGTAGTCCTGTCTAAACTGTACCTACATGTAGTCCTGTCAAAACTGTACCTAAACACTTTCCTTTCCAAAGATTATCTCAGAATCCAAAAGACTGATCGCTTTGAAATTCAACATGGTGATACATTGAGATAAAATTATGTAGATGTGCTATCGGGTTTTAAAAGTTTTCTAAGTTCAAGGTCACTGTTACTAAAAATAAACCATATCGGGGTTACGGTTATGCTCATCGAAGTGCCCTTGCAGAACTGTCAATGTGCTAGTTTCTTTTTTTAAGATTAGGCTGCCAATCTGAATATAGAGACTTGTTAAAACGTACAATTGTTTACGTAAAATAAAGAATTGCTTATTAAAAAATATATATTTTAAATCTAAAATCCACTGAAATATTACAATTATCTTTACAGAAAACAGAATCAAAAATGGTTTTGTTACTCCAAATTCACATACCAATCAATGCTGTTTATTACCTAGCTAGTGATAATAGAGGTTTGTGTCAGAAGGCACATCAGTTCATTATAACAGAAAGAAGTTGAACAAATTAGTTGTAATTGATAATTATAAGGTGATATATGTTTCAGATGCCCAGTCTGAAGATGAACGTCACAGTTGTAAGTGATAATTGAAAAGGTGATATATGTTTCAGATGCCCAGTCTGAAGATGAAGGTCACACAAACAGAGAAAGGAAGCCAAATTTCCGGAAGTCCTCATTACCAGAAAATATTGCCCTGCAAAAGACTGTAAATCGATGCCCAATGCACCACCAAACTGACCTCGAACTGGCTTTGACAGCCAAGGACAGTAACTCCGAGGACCAGGAGGATTCTGGGATATCGATGTACAACATCTCAGGCTCCCAGAACCGTATCCCTGGAGACGTGGACATTGACTTGGTGGAGAATAAAGAGGAACTACTTAGTTGCAGTCCTCCAAATCTTGCATCAGTTCCGAGTATAATATGTGATTTCCATAACCATCTTGATGTACCCAACTCACGGACTGATGAAACTGTGACTCCGTCTAGTAGTGATAATTCTGGGGGATCCGAGATCACCCCTGAGCCAAACCACCCACACTTGGTCCCATCACTGGATGCATGGGTGACCACAACTTTGTCTAATGATGACCACAGCCTCACAGCCCCCAGTGTTGCCTCGGATTCATCTGATGGCTGGAGTGCAGCCGTGTCCTCCGACCATGTGGTGGACAGTAATGGAGATATGGACATAACAGGATTAGAGTCAGCTGCGGCATTGGAGGCTGAGGCCTGTGGTCAAACAAGGGCTAGGAAGCCTTTACCTGTGATACCCAGTAACACTCCTCAATCAAGTGGTCAGGATTCAAGGGAAAACACATCTAGTGGTCATACATCACCTAGAGAGGGGATATCATGTGGTCTTTCTTTTCCAAGGGAGGGGACATCACATGGTCTCTCTTCTCCTAGGGAGGAGACATCAGGTGGTGTCTCATCTCCTAGGGAACAGACATCAGGCGGTGTCTCTTCTCCTAGGGAGGGGACATCTTGTGGTCTCACTTCTCCTGGAAATGTGATAGCTGGGGATCTTTCCTTGCCAGTAACATGTGGTAGTGTAACTAATATGAATGTGATAGTTTCGGATGTGACTTCTGCGGATGTGATAAATTCTAATGTGACTTCTATGGATGTGATAGCTAGTATTGTGATGTCGCCTTTAGAGGAGCAAGGTGACAGTCCCCTAGGGTGTGTGATAGGTGAGGAAACGTCTCTGGGGCACGAGCTGGATGGAGTGGAGAACAGGGCAGGAAGTGTGGTATCTAATGGAGAGACAGTTACACCATGTGTGGCACCACCTAGCCTGCCTCCTCGGACATACAAAGCTCCACCACTGCCACCAAGACAGCGGAGTGATGATGCACCCCCTTTACCACCTCGTACGCCAGAGCGGAATGACAAACCCTCCTTCACCCCAGGGGCACTAATGAGCCCAGGGACTACTTCTATAGTACCAGACCCTGGGTCATTAGAGCCACCGCCTCCTCCCCTTCCCCCTCGTAGGTACAGCCCTATCCCCCATCTCTCTGTAGGTGCAGGTGCTGTTGGGGCAGTTATAGAGCGCGAGGATAGTGCTAGCGACCGAAACAGCTTTGATAGCATGGAAACATTTCAGGGCTCACAGGAGAACCTTTTATCTGAATCACCCAATGTGATAGGCGCCGAGGGTGCAACACCTCGCCCACGTGCCATGCGTACAGACACTGATGCCCCAGGGCTTGAGGAAGAGGGTGGTAAGAAACGACGCAGGAGGAAAAAGAATTCTGGTGATAGTAGTAGTAATAATAGTAGTGTAAGTGAATCGCCTCAACATACTGGCAGTAAAAGTGGGGCCAGTAGACACAATGTAAGTGAGCCACCTCCACCCCAGGGCAGTAAGAGTGGAGGTAATAGACACAGCACCAGTGATACAGCTCTGTCCCCATGTAGTAAGGTAGGAGGTAATAGACATAGCACCAGTGGAGCAGGGGGTAATGGTACAGTGTTTGCTCAGCTTGCCATGCTTCCCTCCATAGAGTCAGTTGTGTCAAGGGACTCCCGTCGATCCTCGACCAGCCCAAGTTCACGATCGTTGGAGGTAAGTCCACGTGCTAGTCCGTTATCTATGCAAACTTCATACTCTGACTCTGTGTCGGACAGGTCGCGTTACACCAATCGACGCAGCCTTCCGCACAACGATACAACCTTCAAACAGGCAGACCTTCTCCACACCACGCCTCAGCGACCCAAGCTAGACAGACATTCAGGAATCATATCTGCCACTCCAAACAGCGCCTCACCCCCCAGGGTTGTGCCTAGGGGCAGGATTCTCAGTGAAGAGGAGAAACAACAGAATAGGGAACAAATTGTTCAGCAATTACAGAAATGGACTCAAAAATTGAAGGATAAGGGAAGAAGTGATACGGACGACACATTGTCAGTCACAAGTAGTGAAGGAACAGTAAGCGGTTGTGATAATTTAAGTTTTCAGAATGATGCAACAGGTCTTTTAGCTCCCCAGGTCCCCACCAGTGCCCAGCCTCCCTCCCAGTCTCTGGCTTCTCCCACAGCTGGCAGCAGGGGCTCGTTGGCATCTAACTCCTCCGAGGTTCTAAGTTCTACTGCTGAGGGTGGTAACAGAACCGACCAGGCTGATGGTGTTCAGCCTAGTAATGGTAAAACCAGTGATGCGGCGTCTCCTTCCAATGCAGTAGTCTGGCAACTACGACAGCCTCAGCAAAATGCTGCCAGCTCAAGTCAAAGCCAGCGCCAGAGTAAAGGTAATTAGTCTCCCACTGGTGTTCCAAGAGGGGACTCTAGGTTTGCACTCATGATCAGTTGGTGTGTCAGTTTAGACATTTAACATAGGTTAGACATTTAAAGGTATTCGGTCACCTCCCTGAAAATGTGGGTTTTCTTCTTGTACCTCAGATTCGTTCTATATATTAAAAATTCCTGTGCATTTCTATATGGGTCTTCTCCTTCTGTCTGAAGCTGTAGTATGTACAATGCTACCCATAAAAGTTCTTGTTTTCCAGAATACATGTGCTGAAGGAAATTCACGATTGTGATGGGATAAGTAAGCTAGGATAGTAGTAAATCTGTTCCCAGTATTGCAATATACTTTCCTATGATAGAAAAAATTTGCGTTCAGGTGATGGTTCTAATACAACAGGTATGTGTTTCACTTACATGTAGATAGTCAGTTATTGATAATAAGGAACCTTGTGTACTTTCTTATGATAAAGACTAGATATGACGTGTAGTTAGTGATAATAAGGAACCTTGTGTACTTTCTTATGATAAAGACTAGATATGACGTGTGTGCTTTCCTTTGCTAGAAGGTAGCCAGTCCCCGCTGCCAAAGCTTCCTGCCAGAAAGAAGTATGTTCGTGTGGAGCCCACCCCAGGGGATGAACCCCTGCCCCCAGGCTGGGAGGCCAGAGTGGACAGTCATGGGCGTATATTCTACATAGATCACATCAACCGTACCACTACATGGCAGAAACCTCAGAACGGTCAGCGAGCAGTCCAGAGACGGCCGACCATCAGCTCTGAACAGCTACAGCAGCTAGACAGAAGGTAACTTTAAGATGATCTATCATACCTTTACAATGTCTGATGTAGTGTTTCAATTCAAGAATCCTGGTTCCAAGTTCAATATCTAGATCACAGGAGAATTACAACTTCTTCAATCTAACTGTAATAGCTTTGTTCTTTTAATTCATTTCTGATTTTTTATCATTGAATACAATATTGCTGATTATATATTAAGAAAATTCTAGTATCTTGATGATGATGTTGTACAGTATATCAAAACAAAATTCAGTTAAATCAAATATTGTAAATGAACCTATTTTAGCAGATATCTCATTAGGGCCCCGTATCAGAGATACGGGTGCCCTATAGTAATCACTCTGTCTGTCTGTCTGTCTGTCCGTCCGTCCACAAATTTTGTTCCAGGCTGATAACTTTGGTATTAATTGACCGATGTTCAGTTCACAAAAATACACATTGAGGTAAAAAGTCAAGGTCAAAGGTCAAGGTCATTAGGTTCAAAGGTCAATGTCAAATTTTACATCTTTTCACTGATGAACAATTTGTTATGACATGATGAAGCAAAGTTGATCAGAATTAAACAAGGAGTCAACTGACCAAAGGTCAAGGCCATTGAGTCAAAGGTCAAGGTTAAATTTTGTATCTTTTCACTGGTGAACATTTCGCTAAGACACTTTGAAGCAATGTAGCTCAGAATTAAACAAGGAGTCAATTGACCAAAGGTAAGGTCACTGGGTCAAAGGTCAAGGTTAAATTTTGTACCTTTTTCCTGATGAACATTTTGTTATGATTTTAAGGAACAAAGTTGGTGGGAATTAAAGAATAAGTCAACTGAACAAAGATCAGGGTCACTGGGTTAATGGGCAAGGTCATTTGGGTCCAAAGGTCAAAGACAAAGTGGATCTCTGACTTTGACCCGGCTCTTGAAGGAGGAGGTATATAAGGTGAAATAAAACAAATCAAAGCTAACAAATGAGTATTGCACCAGTATTTACTTTTCTGTTAGCCCAGCAAATATGGAGGTGGAAGGAAACAAGACTCACATCATAGTACATGTGAAATGTATATTTTGTTTCCTTGTGATTCTTTTTGAAGTCCAAATTTCAAACGTCAAGCTCAGCCATATAGGCAGATTGCTTCTTGATGATTATGGGGGATGTATTGCCACAAGACGGGGCCCTTACTGACCTGTCAGTGTTCTAGTTTTAACACTTTTCATGTTTAAAATATTGTGCAAAATTTTGATTGCTCTAATCAGTTTCTGTATAACCTTCTATTGCATACACTGTGAGTGCGCTAATTCCTTAAAGCATGTTTACATGTTGAAATTTGATTGTTAAAATTTGAATGCTCTTAAATAAAAACATTGACAGTAATTACACTGTAAAATAAGACTGTTGTCTGATTGAGGAGAGTGTCAAGATGTCAGTCTGAACTTTGAAATAGCAACATTGATAATTCAACCATTGACTAATTTCTATGTCCGAAGATATCAAAGTATTAGGAGAACCATCACCCAGAGCCAGCAGGACACTGAGAACACATCAGCCGAGAGCACTTCATCAGGTAGGTTAAGCTTATTTCACCATTCTACACACGAAGCATGGCGTAGAGATAAACATGTGATAAGATTTGTGAATGCCTTTAGAGAAAAGGATAAATTTCTAAAATTGATTTTAGCTCATCTAGTGTGATAGGAGTACAGCAGCTAAAGAAGCATCTGCTGAAAGTTTGTGGCCATCTTTACAAAATTGTTTACATATACTTCTTACGCAGATGATTGTGTTGTTGTTTAGGAGGGAGTGACAATAGTCCCCAGACATCAGCCCAGTCTAGAATCCCTGTACCTCCCCCACCGACACTACCACCCGCAGAAATCCAGGACAACAGACTTCCAGCAATCAAGTTTCTCACCCGGTCCGACTTCTTCCCAATTCTACAGAGCAATGATGTAAGTTGATACACATTCAGAGACTACGTCCTGCGTCAATACTAAAGAAACACTTGGCTTCTATACAATTAAGTGCAATTCTTTCTCAAGAGATCCTATTGATACGGAAAATATATCTTGTCTTAAATATATTTCAGAATTAATGCATTGACTACCTCTCTCTTCGAATGGTTTAAAGCGATTATAATGTTTTGGTCAAGTCGTACATCTTGTGGGTTTTTTTAAGAACATTTTTGTAAATATTAGCTATTGCCAATCTCCTCAAAGTTAAAATAGGAGAAAAATCTTGTGAAATATATAAAAGTAATTATTAAACTGAGATGAAATAATTTGTTTACAGAGAGCTATGGTGGAGTACAACCGCAATGGAACGTTGAAACATATGATTAGCAAAATCCGACGAGATGCCAAAAATTTTGATCGGTAAGAGTGTGAGATAATGCAATGTTGAGATTAACTGCAACTTTTATATTTATCATAGATCTGTTTTTATAGAATCAGATGTTGATGTTAAGATTTAGAACCAATATCTATAGGATAGGATGTAAAGGTACAGCTTTAAAACTCTGTATATAAGATAAAAGTTGTGCTCTTGTGGAAATTCATTTTGACAAATGTCATCTGTTTGAGAAAAACTCAATGAAAATAAAAATAAGTTTGTGTTCATGTATATTTCAATGTTTCATTTCCTGCTTACAGGTATCAACATAATCGGGACCTTGTGTCTTTTATGAATCTATTTGTTGATACAAATATAGAACTTCCTTCTAATTGGGAGATGAAGTTTGACCGCAGTGGAAAGGTAAAGCATGCTTATTACAGAATATTTAATCACTTTCTTTCATTAAGATTTTATCACATATACTTGGAGTATAAAAATCCAATTGCCGGACACCCAGGACAACCAGTTTTAGCAGTCAGAAAAGTGCAAATAGTTGGCCAACGTTAACGGGGCAAGTGCACTAGACAGGTTTCTTAAACATGTTTTCTCCATTCTACCTAACTGGAGGTGAATAGATAATTAACCTTACTAGCTGTCATCTAGTGGAACACACTCAAAAATATTTTTTTTTAACAAAATTTAACATGATGTTGAAGTAGACAATAATTTATTATCAAATGATGTTATTTTCTTTAGAAAAAAATCAATAGATTAATTTCTGAATCATTTCCTCTGCAGCATTTTTTCATCGACCACCATCGCCGACTGACAACTTTTATAGATCCACGCCTACCCACAGATGTCCCTCCAATAAACCCAGATTTCCTCCATACTTCGCTCTTCCGCAACAGGTCCCGGCCAACTGTCGATGAGCCAAGTCGACTTCAGCATGCCGTAAGTCTCTATTGAATATCTCAATTGATAGTTTACACAAAGAACAGTATGTATAAAGCTATGGCCACAAGAGCTCGCAAATATTTTAATCTAATTAATAAAATTGACAGATTTTTCTATGAAGTGCTGTTAATAATTACATATGTTTACGTTCTGTATGCTTGGACCCATTGGCAATTCTACAACCCATTCTACAAAGGTGACCTCATCACTGCGTATTGATACACTTTAATGATGTAGAACAGGGCGTAATTGGTACACGTCGGCCGTGAAACAGCCCTCGATGTAGTTTAGTTATGCTAATATGAACAACATTAACATGATAGGCTTGATTTTAAAGCTCAAATGAGGTGTGTAAGGTACATGATAATACTATCCAAGATTCTACAAATCAAATTTTGAAAATGGAACTATATTCTGTTTTATTGTCATGCTGTTGCTAGGACCTCCAGCGAAAGTTTTACATTTTCCCGTTAAAACATGCTGTTCTATCTACTGCGTTGCCCCCATGCATAAATAGAAAAAAATGCCAGTATTAATTTTTTGCCTGCATTGGAAAATTCAAAGCACTTAAAAATGTAAATATATGGAATGAAATTTATTTTTTCAACATTCATGAGGTCATAACAACATTGGCTTTGTGGAAATATTTCCCAAGAATCGCTGAAGCATGTCCAGAAAGTCAATGTTGTTATGACCTCATGAATGTTGAAAAAATAAATTCATTCCTTAGATATAACATCATAAAGAAAGGATAAAGAATAAAAGTCTGACAATGACTTAAAATGAAATATTATATGAAAAATGTAAATTCTCAAATCTGACAAATAAATATCTAAATATGAGCTGGTCGGTGTTGCATATAAAAAATTTCCTGTTTGATGGATACAGGTTTAAATGGAATTTTCCCTTAAAAGTTTTTAGGTCACATGAGACAAAGTCTCAAGTGACCTATTGCGATCGCCTTTTGTCCGTCGTCGTCCGTCGTTCGTCGTCCGTTTTCCGTCGTGCGTCCGTAAACAATTTACATTTTCGACTTCTTCTCCAAAACCACTGAACCAATTTCAATGAAATTTGGCAGGAACCTTCCATGGACAAAGGTCAACAAAAATAGTTGCTGGTTTAGTCCCAAGCCCCCAGGGGCCTGAGGGGCGGGGCCAAAAAGGGTCAAATTGACTAAAATTTCAAAAATCATCTTCTCAAGACCCAGATATGTTAGAATCAAATACTCTTGATAGATGGAAGGGTCTTAAGGTGCTTTACTAAAATTGTGAATTTCTTGACCCTGGGGTCTCACGTTTTCTCCTGGGGAGGGGGTAAACTTTACTATAGTTTATATAGGGAAAATTTCCATTGGAAGTAATTCAATTTAGGTTAGTATTATTAGTATTAGGTAGCAGTTTGATAGTATGGACATATCAGCCCTGCCTGACCCCCCGGGGTTGATAGGTGGGGCCAAAAAGGGTTGAATTGACTGAAATTTCAAAAATCTTCTTCTCAAGACCCAGATATGGTAGAATCAAATACTCTTCATAGATGGAAGGGTCTTAAGGTGCTTTACCAAAATTGTGAATTTCTTGACCCTGGGGTCTC